GTGAAAGCACTTGACTTGCAGAGCTCTTACAGGGTGAAGGCAAAATGCCTGAGCCCTCAGTAAATGCCAAGCGTTAGTTCTTACTGGTTTCAAAGAAGGTGAAATTCTTCCTCAAAGGTATTCTTCCTAAATTTCACTTAGTGGGCTTCAGCCTTCAATGATGTAAGTTCAAGAGCAAGAGCTTTCAGAACATAACTGAAATTACTTTGTAATCTGATTTTAAGTTTTTTCCTTTAACTCTCTTCAGACATGAGTTGTGCCAAATTAAAAATATCCATCCCTATTATCATAGTGTCCCAAAGAAGAATGGAATGAGAGTTCTCGGTAGTGCCTTCTTATTTGCTCATTTCAGCCCAGCAATTTTTCTCCATCAAAGCCTTCTTTACCAATCTGCTCTCCTCCAGAGGCCATGAGAAGCCAACCTTTGAGTGTAGGCTGCAGAGCCAGTCAGCTAGGCTTCCAACTCCCTCACCAGCCTCCAGGGAATTATTCAACCCCCTCTGGGTCTCAGTATCTAACACCTAGTAAGTACTTCATAAACTAAGACTGTTATCTCTTGGGGGGTTTCTACCAAGAGGCTGCTTACTGGCCCTCCATTCTCAACAAAGTCCATCATTCTCACTCCTGTGCATTCTTAGTCCACCCTGGTCATGTATGGCTCTGGCCCAAGCTGGTTCTCCCACCCCAAGCCAGAGGGGTGGGGGAAGAAGGTGTCTATCCGTAGACTTGGTTCCCTAAGCTCCCAAGGGCCAAGACAGAAATTCTGAGGGCCACAGGAAGCACCCTGACCACAGGCTCTAGGTTTTTCAACCTCAGTGCCAGGCCATGGCTCGTGGCAGGCCTCCAGCCAACAGACTTGAATGAGTGCCCAGTGAATTCACCCTGCCTGCCACAGGCTGGGGTGAGAATCCAAGGCAGTTCCCGTCAGGTTTTGAGTGTGCTGCTGTCTGGATCATCCTCTTGCCTGGATTTTGGACTTTTACCTGCTGGCTTCTAACCCCATTCAGGCCACATCAGCCATCCTCCACCCTCCTGGGTCCCAGGGTTTTTTGAACCCTGTAGGATATACTGACTGGTCTGTACATTTGTCTCCTACGTTTTCATTCACTCTCCCAGCTTTAGGAAGAGGGAGGTAAGAAGGTGAAAGATGTTAACAGAACTCTCCAGATGACATTATCTACAATACAGATCATTCCAGCTTTACCAACCAACTTCAAAGCCTCACTACTATAAACGATAGTAAAACTGATGACTATTAGCGATAGTAAAGAGGCACTTAATAACATGCCCTGCTGAGCAAACATTGAAAGCTTAAAACAATCTCATAGTTGGCAAAGTTAGCAAAAAGGTGGGGTTGGGGCTGACTCACACACACTCAAACATGTATTTATCCTCTTCATCTGGGTAAACTCGATTCTTTCTGTGCTGCTGTTCCTAGAATGAAATAAAACTCTTACAGCTACTAGCATGCTTCCTCCAAGCCTCACTCATGTGACAGAAGGAATGAGGGAATGGACAGCAGACATACTGGCCAACAGAACATAAGTGAAACAGTTTTATTGATGGGTGATAGGATTTTTTATTTTGTTTTAGTTATGCAATCAATAGATGTGCCTTGCAGAAAAAACAAACACATAAAAGTAGAGAAAATTCCAGGAATGTTATGATAACAGCAGTAACCATGGTAAATAAATGCACATTTACCATGTGTCTCAGCTTTTTGGATCTGTATTCTGCCTTATTCTCACAAACCTGAAATGGAAGCACATTACTGAAAGAAGTACAGGTCTTCCTTAACAAGACAAGATTAAGTTCTGCTAAGTTCATCATGAGTGGAAAATATCTCATTCAGTCAAAAATACCTTTAATATTCCTAACCTACCAAAAAATCATAGCTCTGCCCAACCTACCTTAAAGGTGTCCCAAATTTACATTAATCTATAGTTGGGCAAAATCACCTAACACATAGCCTATTTTATAATAAAGTTCTGAATATCTCAGCAGCAGGAAACACAGAAAAGCATTTAGTAGGCATAATGGGATGACTAACTCAAAACTTAATATCCAAGAAAAGCAGTACTCCGGCATATGGGTTGTTTACCCTCATGTCTGGGTGGGTGGCTAGAAGCTGTGGCTCTCGGCCCAGCAACTGGAGAGTACTATACTGAAAACTGCCAGCCAGGGAAAAGATAATGTTCCAAGTATGGTTTTCACTGAATTCATACTGCTTTTGCATAAGTCAAACCACCACAAGTCAGAGACTACCTGTAGGAAGGAAAGGTTAAGGAGACAGACTTAGGACCAAGCCAAGCCTTCTGGGTTAACAGCCTGGTTTGGCCACTGGGAGTGCCTGAGCCTCTTCATCTTGGCTTCCTTCTAGTAAAATGGGAATTGTAACAGCACTCACCCTGAGGGTTGGTATGAGAATTAAACCTAAAATTGCACATAAAACATTTCAGCACAGTGCCAGACAAAATAAGCTTTCAGTGTTACTCTCCCCATTTTTGTGGGCTATGAAACAATCCAAAAAGAGTAAATTCTGCACCCAAACTCACAACTTAGTATTTAAACTGGCAATTAACCCAACTACCTCCAAATCATAAGAGATGCTGTGTCATAATCAGAGGATCTCAATATGCAGACAACAAAAATAATGCCTAACACCAAATTTTAATGATCTCAATCATCAATTTCTTGACCCTGAACCAACTACATAATTTGAAGACCCAGTGAAACATGAAAATTCAATGCCACTTATTCAAAATAATCATGAATTCCAAGACAGTAATAGCAAAGCTTTAAGACAAACAAAAACCCTTTCAGGGCAGGCGGTTTCAAGGGCAGGTCTGTCTGTGACCCCTTTCGTGGCTAAGTTTCAGGACTGAAATTGGATTACTCAGTGTTGAATTCCTTGGTCAAGATATTCTGTATGAATATACATCAACTACCAGCTCCTCAGAGGGAACTGGTGTACTATGAAACGATTTGCAGTGATAACCAATAATAAAGTCAAAACCATATAATTAGCAAATACGAATATTCTTCTTTGACCTCCTTGTCAGTCAAAAGCAGTAAAGACAATTTATTCTGAGAACATCTGCTGCAAAATTACAATTCTCTAATCACAAATGGCCACAGCATTCTTCAAGGTAAGAAGAACAGAGAACTTTCAGTGAACACTTTATCACAACTTGCAGCAAACAAAGATAATTAAGCCATACCACATTTTAGATTATAAACCAAGATTTTGTTCTTATTCAACAAGTTTATCCTGTAAAGAAAAACTGCACTTCGTTTAAACTCTTTTTTTCAACTCCAGTGAATAGAACGCCCGCTTTTTCCAGAAATGGGCATTGAAAGTGTATAGTTCAATGATGATGAACTTCTCTAGCAGTTAAGATTTATGTTCTGTGACTTTCCTTTTTCTTTATTTCAGTATTTTGCAAGAAGCTGAGTAACCCCAATACTGAGGGAGCACAGATGCAAAGTGCAGCAGACCAAAAAAGAACACTGTCTGGCCATTTTTAAAGTGTCCAAGGCTAGAAGCTAAAAGCAAAATGATGGAAGATCCCCTCTGACTTAGGTCTGGTAACAAAAAGGGAATTAAATCAGCAGGTATGCTAGGATGTCTAGTTGTGAATCGTTTACCCTCAAGGCAAGATCTAATTAAGACCAATGACTCTTACAATAAAGTTTATTCTGTCTGGATAGAGGTTAATATGAAAAAAAAAAAAGTGATACTTGACTGCCAGTGGGTACTCAACAGACTTACAAAGACTGTGGCAGGGTGCCATGCTGAGAAGTAACCACAAAACAGGTTGATGCTGATCTTGTTTGATTTGCCAAATTGTCAACTTTTCCTCTAAAACCCCTTGAAAATATTATCAGTTTTGAACCATTCGAAAACGAGAGCTTTAAGTAAACTGAATACAGAGACATGAACAAAAACATTTGCATCAAATAATTACAAATCCTTTTGGTAACTGCTAAGTCTTTTAGCTTGTAACTTGAGGGCACCAATACCTTCCAGAATTGGGATGGCTTCAAAGCCGGGTTTCTCCTGTAAAAAACACTACCGACATTTTGGGTCAGATAATTCTCAGTTGTGGGGGCTGGCTTACACATTGTGCATACTGAGTAGCATTCCTGGTTTCTACCTATAGATGCCAGTAGCCACTTTCCACTGGCAATAACCAAAAAATATCTTCTTGCACTACCAAATTGGAAGTGGGGGTGTGTGGGTAAAAATCACCTCCTATTGAGAACCACTGCTTTAAAGAAAAGGCAATAAAGAGAGACAAGGAATTAACGCACTTCTGAACAGGAAGTTATTTTTAAGGACCTTATACAATGGTAAGTCTCAAAGATTGGTATACATCAGTCTCCCTAAGGTGCTTGTTAACTGCAAATTCCTGGGCCTAGCCCTAGACGTTGCCACATAACCAAGTATCTAGGTTTGCCCGCATTGGTACGACACTCTCATTGTACAAATAGTTAAAATGGGCCAAAGAGGGAAAATTCCTTGCCCAAGGTCACAGGATGAGCTAGAACCTCAGTCTCCAAAGCCAACCAAGCCCTTCCTAACAAAAAGGTCTAATGGGGTGGGAGGCCTGTGTTTTTACATCTTTGGGAGAAGCAGTAAAACCTAATAGGTTAAGACCCTGGAGCAGCCGGGCAGCAAAAAATTCTGACTTGGTAGTTCATAGGTGGGCGACCTTGCGCAAGGGGCATAACCTCTGAGAGTCTCACTTTCCTTAGGTCAAATGTACCCACTTCCTAGGGCTGCTGGAAAGGCTAAAAGATATAATGTATGGAAGTGTCCCTGGCACACAGTAAGCACTCGACATGTGCATTATTCTCATCATCATCTATCCCACCGCTGCAGAACTGAAGGTGTCTCTCTAGCCGGGGGCAGCGAGCTGGAGATGGGTTAAAGGAAACGAAACGTCCCCCAGTTTTCTCTCCCCCACGCCGGGGGCGAACACCGCCCCGCCCCTCACCTGGCCCCGTAGCTCCTTCTCCAGCTGCCGGTAGTCGTTGTTCCAGACCAGGAGGTGCAAGGGGAAGTGACTGCTGGCGTCGCTGGCCGAGGACATGGCGAGGAGGCCGCAGCCGGCCCGCACTGTCCGCCTGCCAAGCCTCGGCGCCGGCGGGGTCCCCGGCGCCCGCCCGCCTGACTGCCGGCGAGAGAGAACTGGGCAGGCGAACGAGGGGCACAGAATGCGGCCGGGCGGCCTGGTGGGCCCGCTGGGGAGCCCGTGGGAGGTCGGAGATCGTGGGCCTGGTCGGGGACAGGGGTCGGCCGCGCCCACCCCACGCCCCGCGGCGATCCCGCCCCAGCTGACAGCTCCCGAACCGACTTCTGTGGGCCGAACTGCCCCAAACAGGGAAGTGCGAGGAGCGAGCCACCGTACGCCGCAGCTGGGGGGAGGAGAGGCCGGGCACCCGCCCCGGCTCGGCCCAGTCCCGCCCACCTCCAACTCCGCGACGAACATACAATGTAACTCCCCAAACGGAGCTAAAAACGCTCTCTCTTAGCCCAGGATCTTGACTTGGATAGCGGGGTCCCTCCTTAATCCGCCTCTTTCCTCCTCCTTCAGCAATGCCACATGGTTGGGTCCACAAACTGGGGCTCTTCCATCCGCTCTGCTGTCAGGGGTGACTACAGGGGACTGGACCAAACCATTCCAGCCTCTGACTCCCTCGCAGCCTTTTTGGACCTGGGCAAGCGCTGCCAGGATTGGGCGAGGGTCATTTTGAAGTGGGCAACACTAAGCCATTTTAAAGTGGGATCTGTAGACTGTGGAGAAGTGGCTTTAAGTTTTTCCACAATAAGGGAATTGTTCTTTATCAGGGTGACTTTGGTACATTTTGAACCATACAATATGGGGTTTGTCCTTTGTAGGATATTGAACGATAACCCTGGCCTGTTAACCCACTGGATGTAGTAGTGTTACAGGGCAGCAAATCTGTTCCAGGACAGGGGAGAGAGGGGTACCCATGAAGCCCCCAAAACCTGCCTGCTCTAAGTGGGTTCTGCTATCCGCTGCAACAAGACAAAACATATAAAACTTTAATGAAAAGGGACTTTAATACAGTGAATACACAATAGGGAACACAAAGAATATAACTTCTAAATCAAACACCTGAAGTTACCCATCCCTCGTGGGCAAATGTCAACCCAAAAGGGATTGGCCCAAAGCAAGGCCTGAAAGCCCGCCACAAGACTAAAGCACCTTCTGGCCGGGACCATTGGAAAAGGGTCAGAAATGGCCAGACAAATCTGGGAGGAAAAGAACAAAATCAAAATCAGTATAAACACTGCCATAGTCACCTCCTTACAGGTCTCTCACCCACATCTGCCTTAACCAGTCTAAGGTCAGGAAACAAGCATGGCTTCTTCCTCACAGGCTTGCTGCTCCATGTGGCTTCCTCAGGTCTCCTCCTTGTTCTCCATCCAGCTTTATTCTCTTCTCTCCTTTTTCTCTGCTCAGCTCCACCCTCCTTCTGGGTGGGGCAGGGAACCTGGAACTTCCCTTTTTCCTAGGAACCACCCTGTTACAGTAGTAGTCCCCCCAGAGTGTTTCCAGACAGTGCTGGATGTTCCCTGGGGGGAGAAACCACTGTTGAAACCACTTTTCTATCTGAATTCCAGATTATAATCTGGTTATAATCCAGAGGTACAAAAGGTGATAATTTATTCCACGTGTCTGTGTCATTTATTGTGAAACTAACCATTTAAAGTTTGTGTCATAGCTGCAAGGACTACTAGATGATACCCAAACTAGATGATACTTAAATATCAAGTTTTGTTTGGGCTCCAATATAAGACCAATGTTAAGGTCCGAAATCACCCGGTCGTCCCCCGCGACAAAGAACAGGGCCAGAGATGCACAAGCAAGCAGAGTTTATTAAGCCAGTTAGCTAGGGTCATGCCTCCCTGCAGGCAAGGACGGATCAGTCAGTTTATAGCTACTCACAAGTCTGAGCTTTTTGCACAGCTGTCTATAACTAGAGCACATAGCTGGGCAAAGTTATTTAATGAATCCTGAAAACATACCTTCTGCCTTCCCTGCTTGTACACATCCAGTTTCTCAGACGCCTGCAACAACAGCTGTTCAAAAATTTTGGCCTAATCCATTCTCCACACATGTTGAGTCCAGAAGATTTGTGAGAGTCTGAAAATGAAAACAAGATACAGGAACATTAGGATGGCCCCCTGAAGTTCTGACTGTGGAATGTGTGGGAATTATGTGGTTATTCCCATGCCACTCTTACTGAAATGAAGAGATGGACCAAAGCACAGTGCTTCTGAAACCTCTTCCAGGGCGTCTCATTCTTCCAGTAGTCTCCTTCAATCTTTATCATCCCATGGTAGTTGGCCATCTTTCCTATCTCATTAGTAGGAAAATTCCACAATGTCATATCTGTTTTGCTTACTAGAGTGTCATCTTTAGGTAGCCGACCATGGGAGCACAAGTTATGGGCTAGACATTATCTTCTATTTGCAAATGAGACTAAAATTACCACCTAAAGAAACATCTAACCTATTATTTTTACTTATTTTATTGAAGATCTACTCCAGTCGCATGTAAACTCCACATAGACAGGAAATTTTGTCTTCTTTGCTTGCCACTGTTTCCCCCAGTCCCTGGAACATGTGTGACACATAATAGGTGCTCAATAAATACTTGTTGAATAAAAGAATGAATAAATGCTGACTTTGGTCAGTTAGTTAATTGACTACTGATTGTTTCAGGAAACTTGTGCCTGCACAGTTCTGGTGACTAGATTTTCTAGCATGTTGAAGCTAAACGAATCTCTTCCAGAGACAAATTGGGGCGGGGGAAGTGCAAGGGGGTCAAGGAAGGAAAAAAGGAAGGGGGAGGGAGAGATTAAAGACCCCAATTCAAGATTTAGAAGTAGGACAGAAAACACTAGGGTACAAATCTGCCCTCACTCAAGATGGCGACAAGGCAGAGTGCCCTTTCCGGTCACATGACCAGTCAGTCAGTGAAGGGTGCCTCCTCGCGCTTGCGTGCTGCGCCGCGGCTGCGAGGCGCTGAGGGGAGAGGCGCCGCCGCCTGCGCTGCCGCCAGCGCCGCCGCGGAGACCCGTTAGAGCGGAAGCGCCGCCGCCGCCGCCTTCGCTGTGTGGGGGTCCCAGGTTCTCGGCAGGTGGGCGGCGGGAGCCATGTCGAAGCGGCTCCGGAGCAGCGAGGTGTGCGCTGACTGCAGCGGGCCGGGTGAGTGGTACCGGCTGGGCCCGCTTCCCTCTGCTCTTCTGCCCAGGACTCTTGCCCGGGGGCCGCTCCCTCGGGTCGGGCGGGTCCCGGTGGCCGAACCTAGCACCTCGTGCTCCGAGTCCCAGCAAGGGCGGCCTGAGAGTTAGAACTCGCCCTGGGCCTGTCAGATCTGGGCGGGCAGGGGGCCGCCGCCCTCCACTCGATGCGGTTCCTCCCTTCCCTCTCGTCCCCTGTGCCACGGGCCGGGCGGGGAGACTGTGGGATCGGTAGCCGTCCCCCCAACAGAGAGGGTTTGGGGCAGTCCACTGGAAAGTCAGTTACTGAGGTAAAACGCGAGCTCCCTCCTGGCTGCAGCTCCCCCCCCCACCCCGAAGCTGCAGGTGTCACCCGCCCCTCCTTTACAGCCACTCAGACTCAAGCCTCGTGAGGGGGCTCTCTGGGATGGGCGACGCTTGCCACCGCCCTCAACTGAGAGTCGCTAGAGGACCCCAGTAGAGAATTTCCAGGCTCCTGAAATCCAGGCTCTCACTCCACTAGGAAGAATCTCCAGACGTTTGCAAGAAGGGGTCTTGTTGACACAACCAGCACTTAATGCACGTCTCAAGTTTGTGATCAGAAGGGCCCGGATTCAGACTAGATTGTTTCCTTTGAGTGACCTTGGATGGGTGACTTCACTAGGTCTGTCCTCAATTTCCTCATTCCCCCCCCCCATCCCCCATGGGCTGATGGGTGTATCACAAGGTTTAGAAAGAATCGTTGCATCCAAGTTTGTCCCCCCTCTCCCATTTTTTGTACTGTGGTCTTTAGTGCTGAACTTTAGCAGTTGCTGAAAGCTAGAGTTGAATTTCTAAATCACAGTAATTACACCTTACAAAACAAAATCACTGGCAAATAAACACATTTGGGCATCCAGATAGTATAGCCATATGGGGGCATTGAAAGGCCAAAACCATTTCTATTCAGGCAAAACCTGAATAATTTTCAGATTTAGAGTTAAGATCTGCCCTAGCAGTTGGAACTGAATTGACAGGTCTCTGTGCTGTTTGCCTGTTTGGCTTTATGTGCTTTAAATTTGAAGTAACTCAAAGATAAGATGGTTTCGTTGGCACTACAACATCCAATCAACATTCTCAGTGAAGTCATTGAACACCATTGTTTTTGCAGTTGTCCTGAACTTCATCTTGTTATTTGGAAATGGTGGCTGATTTTAAGTAGTACTGTGATAAATCAATTCTTACATGTTTTTCCATGGCCTATATAGTGCAAGAGGGGTTATCAGTTTCCTTTAAAGATAGTGAGAAGGGTGGAGGAGTTTTGAGAGATATTTTTCATAAACCAAGATAAATGATGTCTTATACAGTTTACCATACATATTCTCTTATCATTGTTATTTGTTCCACTTCCTTATTTTCTTGCTTATTTTCTGTTGAACTTTTCTGTGATGTGTTTAAGTGAAATGAGTATACTCAAACTTCCTCTTGGGATGTAGATTCTTCTTAATGGATGACATGGGGCAAAGGAAAACTGCATTATTTGGTGTGTTTCAGAACATTTTCTCCTTCATTGTATCATTTAGTAGTTGTTTCAAATGTCTAATCTGTAGATACTTGAGTCACTTCCTTCCTGTTTTGAATATAATTAGGCCACCTTGAAATGTTCTTTGAACTTAAGCAGCTAGGAATTTGTGTTGCCTTTTCTGCAAAGCCCTAGTGAAAGAGTTACCTTGAGGGTTAGGGATTCCTTTGAATTTTGATGGATGCTCAGGCTTTTCCCCTAGCAAAAGTATGAGTACTCTTTGACACAGAATTTACATTACAGCATGGAGTCATGCACATTTCTGAAATCCATTTATGGTATTCCTAGAGCTCAGGTTAAGAAGCTCTGGAATAAAACATTCACATAAACTGCAAGATTTTCACCCACCTTCATTCAGATGAACTTGATTTTCATTTTACTGTGTGACTATCTGAGATGTTCCACAGAATTCTGGAGAACCTTGCGTCATGTGTTAGATCTTTGTTGGCTTTTTCCTGTTTAATTTCCTCCACAAATGCCTCTGACACTGTGCTTCAAAACAGTCTTTTTGTGTGTGTGTCCTGTGTAGTGGTTCAATACTGGAAAAAAAAATGTGTTTGGGTAGCCTTATCTTGATGTTTCCAGTCTTTGCTTTTTAGAATGGCATAGTAGTACTGCTAGAGTCGGACATCAATGATTTTGTTTTTGTTTTATTTCCTGGCATACATGTAGCTGTGATCACATCAGTAAATAAAAGAATCTTACTTGCTATAAATATATCCTTCTTAGAGTTCAACTGCCTGAAAACTCTGCTGAAATTTTTTTACTATTCAGTATTAACAATCAGAACTTTTCCCAGTGGTCATGAATTTCATTGGACTCTTGAAAATAACTGAATGGTCCTTAGAAAATAATCTAGAGAAGTTACATCAGTTCACATTATATGTGAGGAACCTTACTCTGTATGTCCTTTTTACCCTGGGATGTGTTTTTTTTCTCCATAGGTGAGCTATGGTGAGGCAGCTCAAATAACTTGCTTGAGATCACGTGCAAGAAGTGGCAGAGCTGGGGACCGCTTGTCACCAGTGCCAACCCTCTTAACCACTGCACTCTCTCTGATTCCTAGGATTTTTGTTTGATTGAACTTCCATACCTTTTCATTATATGGTTGGAAAGGATTTGAATAAAGTGTTAAAAATGGTAAAAGGTGGTAAAAATGGTTAGAGATGGTACCCATGCATTTTGAAGATTTTTGTGGACATTGAAGAATTTCAAAATACAACCTTTAATCCAAGCAATTTGAGGGGTACCTATTGTCTCCTCACTGAGCCTAAAGAAATATTTAGGTCTCCTCAGCATTCAGCTTACTTACTGCTGACCAAGTTTGAATTACTCCTTGTTTCAAAGATTGCCTGGTGGAACTCTGTAGGACAGAAGGACACAAGGAAAAAAAATATTGTGCAAACACCAAAACATCACTTGTTTTTATTTTATATCTTTGTTTCTGTGAAGACACTGTTATTATAGCTACTGTTCTTTCAAATCACTTGCAAGATTGGACTCATTAGTTTGTTTTAGACAACTCATGGATGTCATAGGACATTTCTAGACCAGCTTTCCCAGTCTGTCCTTCTAACATAGAATCTGAGCATTTGTTGCACTGCTTGCAGCTTTTTGCTAAGCATCAGGCTTGTTGGTATGTAGCAGTTTTTCTCCATTTATTCCAGATAATGCTGTATGGATTATTTACCATCACAATTAAATATTACCTTGCCATTTTTTAAGATGGATTTGAAGTATATTTCACCTGTACCCTCTCAGTTTGCTTCTTTAATGTTGAATGAAAGAGTACAAATCTGAGATGGTATAGCTCTAGTAGAGCTCTATCTGTGACTTTGAGCCAGTAAGAAGAGAATTGCTTATTTCGGGCTTCATTTCGTGGATTTTTTGTCTCAACATTACACCCAGTCAACCAAAATAGGTGATATCATCAGACACGCTCAACAGTTTGATATGTTGGCTAACATACTAAAAGCAACAAAAATGTCTTGTTTTTCTAAAAGACCATATCTCAGTCATATTTTGCTATTTAGCAGTAAAGAAACCAACCGGTGTCCTCACTACTGATGTTTCATTCTTTCTAGATCCTTCCTGGGCATCAGTAAATAGGGGAACGTTTATATGTGATGAGTGCTGCAGTGTCCATCGGAGTCTAGGACGCCATATCTCTCAAGTAAGGCATCTCAAACATACGTCATGGCCTTCAACATTGCTTCAGGTAAAGGGAAAGAATTCTCACAATTTGTAACTTAAGTTTTTAGGACTCACTGTCTTAGAAGTTAAAATATGACAAAAATGTTTTAATCATTGCTGAATAGAGACGCCATAACCATCAATGCTGTAAACAGTGTTGAATTCATCATTTAAGATTTTTTTTCCCTTCTAACATAAATATTTCCCTTGATTATAGACAGGTAGTCATTAGAATGTCTTGGTACTATTTGATTATTGACTTTTTATTGTCATTATTATCATGAGCATTTTTTCTGCTTTGATAGAAACATGGCCTGGCATTCCTCAGAAATTTCTGAAACACCTGATTGATGTTTGCTTAAAGTTCTTGTTACTAGTTAAGAGACCAAATCAAGTTAATACAGCATGATTGAGTGCCTAGCATTTTGTTTCTTTATGGTCCAACATCATGTCACCTGTACTTCTATTTTGGGGTATGCATTCTTCACGTTCTGTTGGAACTCAGAATTGAGCATGTGTTTTGCCTTCATTTGTCTTGAATACATATTTTACTAAACCTGTGGCAGCTGCACAAAGATGTCCCTTAAATTTGCCTGTACAAACCAAGGGACTGGACCAAATGGGCTTGGATTTCTCATGTGAAATTATTTCCACTAATAGCAATGACAGATGGGACTGTGTTCAGAGTCATGCTTTAAAATGGAATTGGAAGATAAAGCTTCTTAATAACTTTTGTTGGGGAGTTTCTAACAGATTGTTCTCGTGTAAAAGTGGGTATTTACTACTTTTAGGGTATAAAGATTATAGATTATATTACAGGATTTGAATAAAATCCAAAGATGAGTAGTTCAAATTACAAGGGTTAACTCCAAAATAACAATTCCCTAAGTATGGCAATTGAACCACCAGTGGTGCTTAGGGCCAGATGTCGGTAATACTCAAGTATTTTTTTTAAAGGTTGGATAAAACTATACCTAGCATATCAAACCATAATTGCTAATTAAAGTTTTTTTAAATGAGTGAATAAAATAACATTAAGTGGATAATCTAGCTGGTACATGGGTTGTTAAGAATCTTGAAAATAGTATTTGGATGATCAGACTTGGGAAACTACCTTCGTGATCTGTAAGAACAGTATCATTAAATCATGTAGGTATTTAGCCGGCCTACTGGTTAAACCTGATTTCCACATACAGGTTGATCTTCTTCATTCTAAAATCAGGAAAGAGCGATGTGCATGATATCCCAGTATTACTAGTGTTTGTAACGGGGCTTTATTTTTCCAGCTTAGTCACCAGTTCCTAGTATTTGTGGAAAGAAATTAAAATATGATCTTACACTGCTTGATTGTAGATGGTTGAAACCTTGTATAACAATGGTGCTAATTCTATATGGGAGCATTCTTTGCTGGACCCTGCCTCTATTATGAGTGGAAGACGTAAAGCCAACCCACAGGATAAAGTACAGTGAGTGGATACTTTAAAGATATTTATTTATTCTTAACACATGAGGCCCACTGCAAGGAGTGCAACTATTTTTGAGCAGCCTCCACAAGAGAAGCACAGGAGGGAGCCACCCTAATTGTGCATGAGGTTCTTTGTTCTTAGAAATGCAGAACAAGGCCAGGCACAGGACCATCTTTTGTATGGTTACCAAGCACTACAGTCAGTGGTTTCTCCAGTTTGAGACTTACACAGGATGGGGGCTGTTGGGGTAACTAGTTTTGAGTTTATGTGTGCCAACAAGAAGAGACTGCCAGACCTGAAATCTAGGTTCTAGGCTGTAATCTGCCTGATGCCTCTCCTATAAGATGGGATTAAATGTCATTTCCTCACAAGTTTACCAGATCAATTAAGAAAATTACATGGAGAAGAAAGGTGCTATAAAAAGCATCTGCAGCCCTTGCCATTGTGATGACTAATATATATTTTTAAAGGTTAGGTCTTAAAACATTGCTGAAACTTATTTCCGTATTCATTTTATTCTAGAATAGGGGATGTGGGTCACTTCCTCTTACTTATACAGTCCAAAGAATGGGAATGTTGTATCTGAACTGCAAGTGAACTGCCTTCTTTTTTGTTTTCAAACCAGTCCTAATAAAGCAGAATTCATCAGAGCCAAGTATCAGATGTTAGCATTTGTTCATCGCTTGCCCTGCCGGGATGATGATAGTGTAACTGCCAAAGATCTTAGTAAGGTAGGCGATTCCTTTCAATATTCCTAAAATTTGCTAGGTGAAACATTGTTGTTATTGTGTTTGAGAAGAAAAAAAAAAAAGTAAAATAAAAGCTTTTTTCTGTACACTATTAATAGCAGCTTTTATGTAATTGGCTTGCTCTTTAATCTTAATTCAAATGGCAGTCATTCTTGTGAATGGATTCAAAGGCAAAGAGCAAAAATTGCTCTTTATGTTAGTTTAACTTTGTAATCGGAGCCATCTCAGTTTGTTTCTAGAAGGGAATGAAAATTTGTGGGAGTTCTTCAGGTTTCCATATTGTATACTGAGTGGGATCTTCAGGGAGCAAGGTGTAACTCAAAGCTGTAGTACCCAATGGTTTATTATAGTTGTGAAATGAGTAAATGGTTTTCTTTATGAGGGCCTTTGCGTGTTTTTGAGAGGTGCTATGAGAAATCTGCCTATTTATTTTCAAATCACTACTTTTTGAAAACAAGTTCAACCAACATGGGCACTCACAATTCAGAATTTTTAACTTTGCATAGAAATATAGATTAAAAACTACATAATTTTTTTAAGTAGGACTTGATATGCATTTATTATCACAATTAAAAAATACAATTAGTGGCCCTCCCTGGTGGCGCAGCGGGTTAAAGCACAGCACTGAGAATCTAAAACCGCTTCCGCATGAGTTCGATTCCCGCCTGCCCTGGAGGTGACCACATGGCGTGGCAGACCTCTCCTGACCCGCCCGCTGCTCCCCTCAGCAGTGTACTTCGTCGATCTGCCTGTTCTGTTCCCCACTCTGTCTCTGGTGAAGCCTCTCGCCGCCCCTGAGCTTCTGGCCTATACCCCAGTTCTGTATGTACAAATAAATAAATCTTTAAAAAAAAAAATACAATTAGTTACTTTTTAAAAAATATTTGACTGTAGATATTGAGGCGATTTTTCTAGTTCTGTGATGAGGGTTATCACATTTTGGACAGTTCAGTTTAGACTTGAAGGGAGCTCATCTGAGTGCACAAAAACTTTCTACAGTGTGAAAATAAATGGTATAGGCCAAATGCTTATTTCCCACCCCGAAAGACTTCCATGAAAGCATTGTGTAAAGACTCAGAATAGTTTCTGGATAGTATCTGGCATAAGATAGAATCCTGTTGTTTACATAGTGTAGAATATGAAGCGCTAAAACCCTACCTAGGTTCAGTAATAACTAATAATGATAGTTGCAATGCTAATAGTAGCTCTGTTATTTGAGTATTTTCTGTATACCAGGCCCAGTGCTCACTACTAAGTACTGATATGCAGTATGTCTCAGTAGATGGTTTTCTTTATGTGGACTGTATAGTAACATTGTGAATAGGCGGTATTATCACCAGTTTAGAGATGAGGAAACTGAAGTTCACATTCCTTAAAGCACTTCCTCAAAAAAAGAACTTCCTCAAGCTTACACAGTTTGAAGGTTATATGGTTTGAAATTATGACCTGTCAACACAACCCCCACCTCACAGGACCCTTCACTCAAGTTCTCGTTGTGCCAGTTAAGTTATGCATGTGGGCAAGTCAGACTTCCCAACCCTGGTTTTCCTTATCAGTGAGATGGGCCTTGATCCTACCTTCGAGTCTAAGTATGGTGTGACCATCCAGGGAGAGACTGCTCTATGTACTACTAAAATAACGTAGATGAAACTAGTGTGCCAGCTGCCCTAGGATATCATTCTTTATGCTCTTAACAAATACTTTTTTTGGTTTATGTGTTTTCAGCAACTCCATTCAAGCGTGAGAACAGGGAATCTTGAAACCTGTTTGAGGCTGTTATCTTTAGGAGCACAAGCCAACTTCTTTCACCCTGTAAGGAAGTGTGAATTGATTATATTAAATTGAAACTAAGGGGGTGCTATCTGTATAGCTTTTAGTTTATGTAATTTGCTTTCTTGCCTCTGTTTTATAAATGATTCTCAGGAAAAAGGGAACACCCCGCTTCATGTTGCCTCCAAAGCAGGGCAGATTTTACAGGCAGAATTATTGGCAGTATATGGAGCAGACCCAGGTACACAAGATTCTAGTGGGAAGACTCCTGTTGATTATGCAAGGTAAGAGACCTAGATTCTTGTCACTTCTTTTGGAGATTATTTATGTTGTGTGTGATTCATGGTTAAGTGGCTAAATTGTGTGTGATTAACATTTAACCCCTTTAAAGATTTACATTCTATTATTTTGCAAATGAAGACATAAAAACACATATGAACTCATAACCTGGCAAAGCCAGAGAAGGCAGAATCATAAACCAGTGTGCTTAGTTGCCAGTCCTTTGTCTGATCTTTTATAGCATAGTGGTATTTCGGCAATAGTCAGTCTGAATAAAGTCAAGAATTGCAGAACCCACTTCTCAAGTTTTTAATACTTTTAGTCATTGATTGAACTTAAAAAACAAATCTGTATGAGCTAGATTTGTGATTAATTATGGTAAAATGTTAATTATAGAGTCTAGAGAGTGGGTAATCTGGGTGCTCACTATAAAAGTCTTTAATTTTTGTCTTTAACAATTTTAATTGTGAAACGATGAGGAAACAAAACATAGGTTAGTCCTTCCTTCTTTTTCCAAAAGAACTATTAAATTGCAAAGTTGTATTCTACATTCTGCAGAGGATAAAGTGACTGAGATAGAAAACAGCCATCTCAAAATTTACTATCTCATACAGGAGACCACTCATAAATGCATGGAAGAGTTAAATGTGACACAGTAAAATGTAATTCACTGCAGCTGGCAACTGGGTAACTGGTAAAAAGCATAGATGTAGGGTTTCTTCATTGTAGCCCAAGTCTTTATGAAATGTTTTTGTTTGGTCTTTTTGAGTGGGCTAGATTTGGATGTTTGAAGGGAGTGCTGAAGTAGTCCAGGCGAGAAGGAAGGTATGAGTCATATTCAGGAGGTGGTTTGGATGATAGATGTTCAGCACATCAGGGACCTGAGTGATCTGAGCATAGTATATTTGGGAATAAGCGGATGTAAGTATCGAAGAATATATTTATTTCATCAGACCTAAGCTCCACTAATTATGTGGGTCATTATCATTTCACATGACATTAAAAAGAAATCCTCAGCCAATTAAGTGATAGTTTGCCACCAATTACAGGATACGTCCTGATTTCAGAGATGTTAACAGATGAGGGGAAAATATATGTGTGGTAGATTAGAAAATTTTTGTAGTGCCTGAATGGTGGGAAGAGAAATGGTAGAAACTAAACTTCATCTTCTAAGAGTAAGAGTCCTTCGTAAATGATAGGTATTTTCAGTTATTTTGATGTTTCCTCATGTATGCCTTGCATATAATAATCTCTCAGTGTGATAATTTATTTATGTGCCTTGTTACTAAAAGGATTTCAAGCAACTGTTAAATATTTCATGAATGGAGAATGGCAAACTTAATGTTTAATCTGTTAAAGAAATTAGAGAGGAGGCGAAGGAAGCTACAGGTGAGATCTGTGCAGAAGATTGGTCAGTCTCCCCTAAGTTATAGACCTTGAAGTGCTTACTACATTCTCATCCAAAATCAGAACTTGGCTGTGTCGAAGCATCCAAAAGAAGGACCTTCTTGAAAATATTGATGTCTATGCTCACCACAACTTTACTGAGATTTATTGAGAATTTCCTGCAGGGGTTCTGGTTGTCTGAATATTTTTCATAGCTCTCTAGTTGATTTTTGAGAAACTCTATCTTAGGCCATTTATTTATAATCTTACTTTTTGATAAAGTCATTTGTTATCCCTGTCGTATGTCCTTGAATTTCATACTAATTATTCTGTTTGTAAATTAATAAAGAAAGGGGGTAAATTTGCATTATAAAGGTGGGACTCAAAGTGTACCTTGACAAGTCAGACATAAAGGTTGATTATTCTGAAGATCATGTTTGATAAACTGCTCATGTGTCTCAGGAGACATCTCTGTACTTTTCTATTCTAGAGCCAGTGGCTGGTGAGCAATATCAATGGTACTTTGTTTTCTTTTGGTAGGCAAGGAGGGCACCATGAGTTGGCAGATCGCCTTGTAGAAATTCAGTATGAGCTGACTGACAGACTAGCCTTCTATCTGTGTGGCAGGAAACCAGGTAAGTGAAAGGATAGCAGCCCCTCCACACCTCTAGTCATCTAGCCTCTGGAAAAACAAGTCGGGACACTGTTATTTATGATCTTCTCTGTTTTAACATAACCTTGAGAAGATTTTTAATAAACAAAATGAAAGTTAAAAAAAAGTGCAGAAATTGACAGTTGAAGAGAAAGACTATATATAGGGATTTATGTGATCACTTATTACAGAATAAAATTGTGAACAAAGACTTCTATTTGAAATAACTGCAGCATTTTCAGCCCTGTAGAATATATAAGTCCAGTTAAATCTCCTTTAATTTTTGGTTTTTAAAACTTTATTTTAGCACTCTAGAATCAAAGAACATAATTGAACCAAAATTGAATGTGCACCACAGTTCTTGTACATGATGGATTAGGAATGGAACAGCAAAATAATAATTTTTATAGCCATTGAAAAAGATGGCTAAGGACCAGGAAAGTCAAAAGTGAATTTATTCGCTACTCAGCTCTGTTATTGGTAATGTTGCACCAAGGTTGGCAAATCATGATTTACATACAGGCCAGCCCAGCTGGTCATCTATTCTTTTTTTTAAACTGAAGTTTTATTGCAAGGAAACCATTACCATCCATGTATGTATTGTCTGCTTTTACGCTGCAGTGGCAGAGTAGAATAGATTGAATAGTTGAGGCAGAGACCAGATGGCCTCAAAGCCTAAAATATTAACATTCTGGTCTTTTAATGAAAATTTGCCACACTTTGATGTAGAATATCCACATACATTATGTACTTACAGTGATTTTCTCCTCTGGTTATAGTAGAGTTAAGAAACTGGCTATGTTCTAGCTTGGGGTGAGATGGAGCAATCATAACCTACTTGTCTCTGCTTCTGAATATAATTTAAAACTCTGGACCAAATGCGTGGAGTAGTTATCTAAGGATTCTGCAAAGTAAATGCCAGCCGGGGGATTAGGGATCTTGAAGTACCATCAGGCTGATGGCGAGTGTCCTGTTTATTTTACTTCTGAAATCGCCTGTGCAACAGCCTAAGACCAGAACTGCACAACAGGTACAAAGATGCCTTCTTTTTCTGCTTGAGGGGCAGGGAATGGGACTCCTAAAGGACAGAACAGGAAAAGATTCCCTGGGATTTTTTCTGATTCTTCCTTTTCTTCCCACCCTGTCCCCTTGGCAATCCCATGACTGCAGAGTTGCAAAAACTGGCAACACAGGTACCTAAATTTCTAACCAAGAGCATGAGGGGAATCCTGATTACTTTTATTTTTCTTTGTTCTCTCACAGCTTGGCCCAGGAGACAGAGCATACCCTGATTATTTGCCTTATAAAATAGAAGTATTAGCGTTTTCCATCTATTCTAAGTAGGAAATTTTGAAAGACTTGTGAGGGGAAAGGCAGTCAACAGACACCAACCCCAATGTCACAGATGTTAGAATTACCAAGCTTTAAGGCAACTAATGAGACCATGAAACAAAGATGTAGAAAGTTTCAAAAGATGTAGAAAAGAACCAAATGATTAATGTTAGACATGAAAATAAAATTAAAAGACTCACAAGATGGGCTAAACAGCAGCAGAAAGGAGTTGACAAAGAGTCAGTGAATTCAAAACAGGTCATAGAGAGCCTCCTGGTTGCGCAAGGGGTTAAGTTTCAGCACTATCAGAGGATCTCTAGCCACTGCTACATGAGTTCAATCCCCGGCCAGGGAGCTGACCCACATGGTGTAGCAGACCTCTTCTCCCATCTCCCTGCTGTTCCCCTCAGTGGTGTTTTTCATTAGATCTACATGTTTTGCTCTCCACTCTGTCTCTGATGA